AAAAAAAAAAAAAAAGACTGGATAAACAAAGTTTGAATTTTCCTTTTTGGCACAATAAACATCAGAAATATCTCATACGGATAAATTCAAGTTTAATCTGCTTTTGTAATAAAAGTAAATTTTTACTGCAAAAGTAAAATAGAAATCTTTTAATTGCACACTTTTGTATATTTTTCCAGACATTTTTTTATTAAAGGGGTCGTTCAAATATTATGTAAACACCTAATGGAAGAAAGAGATTTTGATTTATTTTTGCGGACAAGAGGAGAGAAGTGGTAGAGGTTATGCACTATAAGTTCTTAATTTCAGCATTTTTTCTAATAGTAAGGAAAAATTAACAAAAGAATTATGATCTGATTGGAAAAAGTTTCAATTTTAGATTTAAGTTAGGAATTTTAAGATAGAACACACAAAAGATTCCTTTTACTTCTCCGCAGAAAGAATACACAAAATATTTCTCAGACTCAAAATTTTATAAAATGAATGAAAATACAGATTTTGTTTTGTGCAAAATTACATCTTTTATTTAAATTTAATTCTAAAAAGTCTTCTCGTTGGTTGTGGTATAGATGCTTGGAAAGAAGGGTACCAGCTCAGATGCTTTCCTTGTCATCTTTCCAGAATTAAATTCATGTGGCATTTCTACCATACCCGTTAGAAAGTAGAGCCCTGAAAAACAGGTTAATGTTACCCTTTCCTTTCATTCTTTTCTGACTTGTTGAGTCTACAACCCATAGATAGCAAAAGAACAGTTGACCCCCGTGGTTATAGATAATTTTTTTGTTGTCTCTTTTTTAAAAAAAAAATTAATGAAACGGTGTGAAAGTTGAGTGATTGAGACTAATTAATACGAAATTAAAATCAAAAGGTTCAAGTCATCACATGAAATAGGAGTTAAGAAAATAATCGAGTTATTATACATCAAGTTAAGACTAAATACATCCAATTGACTATATTTGTAAACTTTTATGCACTATATTTATTTTATATTCAGTATTGATATATTGTTTTCCTTTTTAGTGTTAAAGATTCGTGTACCTTACTAAACTTGAATAGTGCACCTGCTATGTTATTGAGAGAAACTTTAAAGCATGAAGATGGCTTTAAGAGTAAAAGTAGCGCATTGGAAGAACTTGGAGTATTTAGTCTTAGTCCATCTCAAGCACTCATCATTCTCTCCCAGAGAAATCACATGAGTGTATAATTGTACATTTATACTGTATTGTAAATTACTTCTTTCAGAGTAATATATGAAATTTTTTGTACATAAGACTTTGAAATAAAATATTTTATTTATTTAATTAGTTTGCTATAATTTCAATCTTATACATTCTTCAAAAAATTTTGGAAACCACGACCAATTTTTAAGGACCAACATAGTATTAAATGGGTAGTAACATAACTGTTTTTTGTAAATGCAAAAAAAAATTTAATATTTTTAACCCTTTCAGGTTATAATTATTATCTTGGTTTGATTAAATTTTCGATGGAATATTATGTATTGGTTAATAAAGAAACAAATATGTTTTTGTTTTCCCAGGAGAAATGCTATTGCCCTTAAATAAATTTTTTTATTTTTATATAGTTTTAAATGCCTATCAATTTAAGTGAACTCAGTTGTGTAACTTATATTAATAGTAATTACTAAGTGGTAAGTAAGTAACGGTAAAATGATGTGAGGGCTGAGAGTAGATCACAAAGTTTTATTTAAAATAAAAAATATTTTAGAGTTCCACTAGCTTTTTAAAATAAGTTCATGATTGTTATTTTCAGTATTCATATTCACACGAGTTTAAAATCCAATATTGTGATTCGTATTTAAGCAGATTTCTGTGATTCAGGTGGATATGCGTGATTCTTATTTGTATTATGATTTGTATAAAAATTTGATATCACAATTTCTATTTTCACTTTTTTAAAATCCAATATCGCAATTCATATTCACACGATTTTAAAATCCAATTTCACGATCCTTATAATAAAGTTTTCTTTTCATCAGTTAATATAAAGGAGTAATATTCTTCATAGGTAGGTAATTTAATTATAAATGCTAGTTAAAAAAATTATGTTAAAATTTGAAACATGATTGGTATATAAATTTGATATCAATATTTTGCCCATAAAATTTTCAGGGTTTTTCTGTTTGTGACCTGTATAAATGTTTTTGTTGAGCTGTTGATGAATAATTTAACAATAACTTGTTAGAAGAAATTTTGTGTTATTTGTTGCTTTGTAACCTATGCCTTCTGAAACTCTTGCTAGCTGGAATATTTTCTCAGTTGGATTAGCGATTTCGGATAGCGTGTTTACCTTAAGGCCTGGTTTCTTAGGACAGGACGCCGTCAGCTGGAAATCAGCGCTAACCTCTGATTGGTCCATTTGTGAGTTTGATAGTATACGTCATCGTACGCTCATCTTGAACTACAATTACCGTCCAACTCAACTGCAGTTGGATTACAACGTGACGTTAACCACAGAAGCAATGGCGGACAACATCCAACAGCACATTGAAATCAGCCAAGATTTTGATTTTGACATTAAACATAGCTTCTTCATTAAACATAGCACTCTTCATTTAGCTCAGCTATAATGTGTTTTTTCTTGGACAAAGTCATTATTTGTTCTCTAAAACACTGGTCGACAATAACAAAATCAATACAAATTCAAAATAAATATTTGTTTACGTTATTAACGCATGCGCAATGAGAGATAATGTCTGCGTTGGACCGACTGCTCATGCTGAGCTAACAAAAAAGTATTTTTTTGGCGTCAGATCTACGTCAACTTTCCGCTGACGCCCAGATAAGGCGTTAGTTCTAAGAAACCAGGCCTTGAGCTAACAAACCAGTATTTTGTTGGCGTCAGCGTGACGCTGACGTCCCGCTGACGCCCAGATAAGGCGCTTGTCCTAAGAAACCAGACCTTTAGAATTTAATTGTCGAATTCTTCAAGGTTTTATTTTACTTTTATTAATTAAGCTTTTATCTGAGCTTCAGGGCGCATAGTTCCTTTTCCCAGCTATTTTGGAATTCAAGTATGATCTAGGTCTGTTTTTATTTTAAAGTTTTTAATAAATAGTTAATTTTGGCAATTTAGTTTTATTTTATTACTCGTTTCCCCCCACAGTTTTGGAAGCTCTGATTTTGATTTATACAATGTTGACTAAAATGCATTACAAATGGGTTTAAAAAAAAAATCCAACCGGAACAGTGGCCTTTCAGAATAAAATTGCAGGGTAGAAAATCTTTGGAAGTCACTGATTTGTATATTGACTGCGACACATTCCATTACTTTGCAATTCTTTCCATGTCTCATTTATTACCTACTCCCGATGATAGTGATGAAAACGACAAAGGTAAATTAAAAATATCGAAGGATCTACCCACACCTGATCAAGATTTTCAAAGTATAAAAATTTTGAAATAATATTTATTTGCAAACATAAATCAAACAGCTAATTTGTAATCAATAGTAAGTACTGATAAAGATATTTTTGAAAACAAGAAAATGTTACACATTTTTTCAAATAGTTCATTTTGTAAAAATCAATTTTTAAAAATATGTTAATATTTTTTTCAGAGTTTAAAAACTAGCAAAATTAAATCAGAAATTAAGTTTTACAGGATATATGTTTTGTACATATTCATTACACTTTTCTAAAAAATACTACAAGTATAAAATTCAAAATAAAAATATATATAATTTTCAGTGCAAAACTGTATCTATACAAATTTTGCTATCTACATGTACACTTTCTGATTTTATTGGGGTCACAGACGAATTTTAAAATAAAAATCTGTTGTATCTCTTCTATTTAAAACTAAACTATAAAATTTTTTATTATAAAATTATTTTATAGCCTTAAAACCACTTTAAACAACTAAAGTTTTATCCTCAATATTGCAAATATCTTAGATTTTTTTTAAAACAAAAACATTTTAAGAAATGTAAAAAAATTCATTACAGTAGTTACAGTGTAAAAAGTAACTATTTTAAGATAATAGATTTAATAATTTATAAATAGCTCTAATAAAAATAGATGAATGTCAAACACTTTAGTTTGAGTTGCCTACAAAGCATTAAACAGCTATTGAAATAATCGCAGGAATATAAATTACCTACACCACAAGGTTGGCTAGCAAAAATAAGTAAGGTTTAACTTGTTGAACCAGGATCACAGCACAAATCCATCATAGATAAACATAGTAACACTAAATGAAAAGCTGAAGTTTCTGAATGTTTTGAAAGAAGAGTTGGAAATCCTTTCAAATTTTAGCAAAAATATAGACATCAGCTTATAAAAATAACAGTAAATTTAAAAAAAAAATGTTTTACTAAGTAAATAAACAACCATTTAACACAAAACATTCAGTTCACTTTTATCAAATGCGAGTATCCTTTAAACTTTCTTTTTAAAGTGTGAAAAAATTTTATTTTTTAAATTAAAAGTATAACAAAAACCTAACCAGTTTTTACCAATTTTAAGCAAAAAAAAAAAAAAAAAAAATTGCGACAATTTTGGCTGTATCCTTCAAAAAAAGTTTGAAAGATATAGTTTTCAACTATGAGGCACAAAATTAAATGCAAATGGTTTATCCTATAAGTATTTGCCAAAGTAAGTGGTATTCAAATCAATAGGTATGTTGTCGATTTTCTCTGAGCTTAAAAAGTCTTAAAAAGATAATTTTTTTCTTTTTCAAGCTAATGAATAAGTAACAATTTCTCTTTGCTAACACATTAAGTATTAAAAAATCAACTTTTCTAATACTTTAATATTGATCTAATTTTGTCTAAACACTTAAAAATTTCTAACTTTCTTTCCCATTTTAAAATTTTCTATTGACAACAATTTATGCAACACAAATGTGGATAAAAAAATGTAGTAACATCAAATCAGGCCTGAATTTATTTCAGAATTATGTACAGAGTTATAATTTTTTTACAGTGTTGTAACATGTCATGCACACTGCCTGAATAAAGTTTCTTAACAGTATGGTTTACATAGTGTTGTGAAAAAATTTTTTAAAATTAAATAGCGTAATTATACACATTGCATGGGAATATATTCTATATTTGTACCTATGCCAAAACAGGAAGTAAAAACCTATTGTCACAACAATGATTGTAGTTGATACAAGAACTAATATGATACTCTTCCATAGGATAAACAAGGTTTCCTTTTCGTATAAATATAATACAATAGTGGACCTTCAAATGATTCACCAATGATTAATGAACATATTTACAGCATGAATAAGTTTTTTTTTAATATGATAAAGATAATGTTTTAATGATTATGAACAATGATTTATCACATAGATTGCACAAATAGGTTACACCCTAATATATGTTATACTCATATATTATAATAAATGTAATAATGAATATAATAAATTACAAATGAATGCTAAATATGGATATTTAACTGATATTTACAACAGAATGTCATGTTTTCTTTCCATTATTAATAATAAAAAGAGCATTTTTCAGATTCACTTTTTACCAGTGGTTGTTTTAATATAGAATTATGTATAGTGTCATGCTTTTCTAAACTTTTGAGATGCCTATATTTTTTTCCACACACACTGCATGCGTGTATTTCCTTTTTCTTAGGTATATGAACATTTCTTTGTTGTGTTATGCAATTCTCAAATGGAGAATTATGAATAACATAATGTTTTTTTAAACTTTTAAAGTGGCTATACGATTTGTCACACATATTGCACGGATAAGGTTTTCGTTTCTCGAGGGGACAAACTTTATTATGCTGCGTTAAGCAACTTTTATACCGGAAAGCTTTATTACACACGCTGCATGAATAAGGTTTTTCTTTAGTATGAGTGCGGTAATGCACTTTTAAGTGATTCTTCCACAAAAATGATTTATCACACATAGTGCATGCGTGAGGCTTCTTTCCAGTATGGCGAAGGTTGTGTGTTACTAATTCATGTTTTCGTACAAATGATTTGTCACACAAAGCGCACATATACTTTTTTATTCCGGTATGAAGACGGCTGTGTTCAGTTAATGTACTCTGATGTTTAAAAGTTTTTTTACAAACACTGCATGTATACGGTCTCTCCCCCGTATGAACACGATAGTGATCGTCTAGCCTACATTTAAAAGCAAATGTTTTATCGCACCTGTCGCAAGAATAGGGTTTCTCTCCCGTATGAATAAGATAGTGTCTATTTAGGTACTTTTTAGCGGTAAATATTTTATTACACACATGACATGAGTAAGTTTTCTTTTCAGTCGCAATAAGTGAATCTAAAGTTAAATTATTTTCGTCATTGAAATCTTTTTCTTCGTGAACATGACTGTGCTGTTTTAAACCTGATTTACGTGAAAATGTTTTATCGCATACACTACATGAATATGGCCTTTCTCCTGTGTGAATAGTTTTGTGTTGGGTTAAATTCCAGTTACTAGTGAATATTTTATTACATATGTCACAAAGGTGGGTTTTCTTTTCAGAATTAAGGGGATACTGTGGTAAAATATCATCGTCCGCATTCAATGCCATTTCTAATGAAACTAAATGGTATATACACCAATTTTATGAGTGTTTTTGAACACACATTCTACATTTATCACACATCGACAGTTTTTGTTTTCTTTCTGATCAAATAATGCAGCAATATAAATATAAACAAAATATTAATTGAAAGAATTGAACAGCCTTTAACGTTATCTTTTACTGACTGCATTGCTGAAAATAGAGAAATTTAAGAAAATAAGTTTCATTTTAATGCCAAAGTTTACGCCTTAACATCTAACTTTGAAAATTTTCCCTTTTTATTGCTCAAATTCGACCGAAACCACCTTTAGCCGGGCAGAAACCAGTAACTATATCGATTGCAAGTTTGTTTGTGTTTATATATATTTCTTTCATTCAGATTTCTTATAATTAGACACCTATTTTAAAGTAATTTTTCAAACATGTTAGTAAGCGGCCTACTTTCGCGACTTAGAGTTTCAAGTTCTATAAATCCTTTGCTGTTCCGAGGCTTTAAAAGCGAGTATTCACTGGATAAAATTTATCCAGAAAGCTCATTGAATCTGTCCAAACCCAAGGTAAAAAAATTCCTCAAAAGTTTATCCGCTTTATTTATGTTGATTATTCGAATTTAATATGCTTGATATGAAATTTATTTACTGATGAGGGGGCTTGTTATATAGGAAAGTTTGTCTGTTTGTTTAAATTTTAATTATTATTAGTTCAATCAACATTTTTCAATTATTATTATTTTTAACTTATTTGAGTAATGTTACTGGTATTGCCTCATAATAAAACCTTAAAATCTGTCAATTTGTTTTGACTATTACTTTATTTTTATAAAACTGAGAAAAATACTGTTTTCTAAAGCTTTAAAAATCTCGAAATTTCTGAAATTAGGTATATAAGGGGATTTCCGTATCCTTGCCGGGGATATTTCCGTGATCTGCCATGCCAACTACAATTGCAAAGGCTCCAAACTGATTTTAAACTGGAAAAGTTTTAAAAAAATGTAGATGTTTGGCTACAAGTTATACCATTCGAGTTGATCCCTTTCTGTGATATTTGTCGCAGGTCGCTGCAGGGAACATGGCAAGACTTGGCGATTATTGTGCCATAGATCAAAATATGGAATTCTCCCTTCTGTGGTTATATTATTCTGTGGATATTGGCGGCAACACTATGACAAGCTTCTACTTATCTTTAAAAAAGTTAAAACTATTGCGGTACTAGTCCAGATAAATAAATAAACTGAGAAAAATTCTTCTTAAATGTGAATGACAAAATAAACTTTCAAGAGCCATGTGAAATTTTTTATACTTTCCTTGTAATGGAGAAAGCATTCTCTCTCTTTTTTTTATATTTTAAATGCTAAAAAAATATGCCAAATAATGACATTATGAAAACATTTTTATTTTATTTGTGTTTAATGATCCTTTTTATTATTGTAAAATTTACTTTTCACAGTTTGTTTCCCCCGCCCCCCACTTCTTTTAAAGTAACTATATTAATAAAACATATTTTTTTTCTGAATTTATTAAATTTTCACCATAAAAGCTAAAATTAAGAAATAATAATTTTAAAAAATTCTATGAAGCTTAAAAATATGAGTTTTTTTTATTTATATATTTTTTTGCAGGTGTTGAAACTTCAAATTTGTGTGTTGACAGTTCTATTACTTGTTTTTTGCTTTAAATTGTTGTAATTTATTTTGTTTAATAAATTTTTCTCCTTCCTTGTATATATATATGTTAGTTTTTATCGTGTAAAATGTTTTCTGGAATCTAGTAAAATTCCTTAAGTAATAAAAAAAATGTGTAGAGGTTTGTCGAAGAGAACTAGGTTTTATACTCTTTGGGTAGGTATTCCTAGATAGAAGTATCCAAAACTTATTTATTATTTTGCCGCAGATCACGTTGCGGAAATTTTTCTCGCTTTAGGAAAATACTAAAACTTTCATGTTAACATTTATAGAAGTTTTATAGCATTATATTTATAATACGAGCCAATACTTTATTGTAATTTTTTATTTTGATTTTTGTGTACTACATTCTTTTTTTTTTTCTTCCAGGAAATAAAATCTAGTGAGGACAAATTCTCAGGTTTTGTACCAATAGGTTAGTATTTTTGAACATTTTAGGTTATTATTAATAAAATTTTACTTTTCTAAACATATAATTTATCGATGTTATTTCAGAATTTAATATTTTGGGGATTGATCGAAATTGTATTCTTTGCTTTAGTCCATTTTTTTTAGATCAAAATTAGTTTTATTTTTGAAATTAATATTTACTCAACTATCGTTTTCCTCTCGCATTAAATCTTTTATCTGCTGTAGCATCTCTTGATAGCCTGTTAAGTTAAAAAAATTTTGATCCCTTGAAAATTTTATAAAGTATAATTTTTAATACAGGAGGTCCAATTGAGATGAGTATCACCACTGTAAGGCTTTACATTAAGGTTTTTTTATGTCAATAGTTAAAATGGCTACAGAGGCACAAAACTGCCTTTGGTGATTTTTATTTAATGGATCAAATGGCATATATCAATGTTTTGTGAAGAGCCAGGGTCCAAATGAATAAAAAAAAAATTGATTTTGGAAATAATATTCATAAATGAATGTATGAAATCTTATAGTTGTTCATCCAGGAAAAATTTTTTGAACTGGTTTATTAATTTTTCTGTAAGTTGGTGTGATATTAAGCTTGCCTCGTTGAATAGTATTCAACAAAATTGAGCAATGCAATAATCAATAGAATTATATATCAATGTACTTAATCTATATAATATTAGGTACACAGAAAAATAAAAAGTAAATATACTAGTTACTATCCTTGTTACATCTATTTAAAATATATTTTCCCAAATGCATAATATTTTAACAATTTTAAACTTTCTGATATTAATTCCTGTTTCATTCTGATCCAGTGCTGAATTTTAAAATTGGTTGTAATTTGCTTTTTTTTTTCAGAGTGATTTAGTTTACATTTAATTTTAAAAAAAAAGGTTTATATTTGTTAAAAATGTGGTACATTTAAACTAGGTAAACATTAATTTTTACAAGTGTCCTATGTTTATTGATTTAAGTTCTTGTGCATTTTGAATGAAGAGTCAAAAATTTCTCTCTCTGAAATATATTAAGAAGGTAATTTTGTTTATTTAAATAATCTTTCTTTTACTTTTCAGAAAAACTCCAAATAACCTATTCAAAAAGTAGTGGTCCTGGTGGACAAAATGTAAATAAAAGTAAGTTTTTGATTTTTATCATATGATTTACTTTTAATAACAATTTTCATGTTTAATTACTAGTTCCAAAATGCTTCTGTAATAATAATAATACATTAACCAAAGTAATTGTTTTTTCTAGAAATAAAAATACATAAATCAATATAACAAAGTTTTTCAAAAAGCTTTCAATATATTTATTTAGTATTTATGGATAAATTGTTATCAATTTGTCTATTGCTGCTAATATTTCTGTTATAGACTTGATATTATTTTCCAGTTTCACTCGTCACCTGATTGTTTTATCTGAAGTTTAATTTAAGCCATCACTAATTTAAGGTTATTCAGTAAATTAATTGATTATTATGAATAAAGGTTGATATTTATGATAGTTTTTATAGTTTCTAAATGAAGTTTTGGTTGCATACAAGCTTATTTTTATGACTACACACTCCTCATTTCTTTTTACTGGTGATACATTAAGCTTTTATTGTTATATTAGTACATAATTATCATTTTTTAGATAATACAAAAGTTGAAGTGCGATTTCATGTAGCAACAGCATCATGGATACCAGAAATAGCAAGAGAAAAACTTTTGAAACTGGTAATTTTTAATTTTTATTTATTATTTATTAATAATTTAATAAATTTTTTTGTGTGAATCTTTATGCATTTTGAGAACAATTTTGTAGTCAGCCAATANATATTTATGATAGTTTTTATAGTTTCTAAATGAAGTTTTGGTTGCATACAAGCTTATTTTTATGACTACACACTCCTCATTTCTTTTTACTGGTGATACATTAAGCTTTTATTGTTATATTAGTACATAATTATCATTTTTTAGATAATACAAAAGTTGAAGTGCGATTTCATGTAGCAACAGCATCATGGATACCAGAAATAGCAAGAGAAAAACTTTTGAAACTGGTAATTTTTAATTTTTATTTATTATTTATTAATAATTTAAAAAATTTTTTTGTGTGAATCTTTATGCATTTTGGGAACAATTATGTAGTCAGCCAATAAAATTTATAATTTTTTTGTATAATTTAAGAGTTAAATCCTCCTCTGTCGGCATCACATCTCATACATCTGGCGTTTTTTTGTGCCCATATGGTTGGCATCGCATGTCATGAGAGGATGAGAAAAATTTTGTCATTAAAATCGCCACTTCTTACATTTCTCTTTAAATCACACAATTATTTTTGTATTTCTGAATATTGCTTGGAAATGGTGCAACTAACCCCACTTTCTTTACAATTTTCGCAGTGAGATTTCCCACCTTGAATTAAAATCATAATCATTTTGTACTTTCTGTAATTTTGCTTTCATTAGCATTAAAATAATTTCATTGGTATTAAAATTAATCATTAGTATTAATTAATTGCATTAATTAATTGATTGCATTAATTAATTAATTGCATAATTGCATTTCATCAGTATTAAAATTCTTTTCCAAGATATTTTTTTACCTAATTTTAATAATTATTTCACACAAATATTGATCTTTAACAGGTTAAAACAAAAGAGTTAACAAATATGTTATCAGAGTGTATTTTTTTAATATAAAACTTGGGTGCATTGCAGAGAAAACTGGTGATCAGTGGACAGGACGTCACATATTTCATGACCAATTGGTCAAGCAGGACTACTTGTCAAAAATATTTAGCATTTCCGATTTAGGATAGAACATTTATTAATTTTCAGCAATAAAAAAAAAGCTCTTTTTTGGAAATTTAAGAAAGAAATCAGGCAGAGAAGGGGTTTTGCTTATAAACATTGCTTTTTATTAATTTTTTCTGTCATACTTTTCTTTCCTTAAAAAGTTTCCTTTCTTACTTTTAATTATTTATCTCCTGAATATTTTTTAAAATCTGATTGAAAAACTTTTTTGTGTGTGCTTGTGAACATTGTGACAACTTTTTATTAACTTGAAATTTTAGATTTTGAAAAAATGTTTTTTATGATACATATTAATATCAATTCAATAATTTAACAAGAATATTTTAGTGAACTTGATTTTGAATTTATTTATATCCGATTTTTTTTAACCCCTTGAAAAATTAAAATTATGAATTATATATTTTTTTTAATGGCGGGCACTTGGGATGTATTGTCCCATTGGCCTCATATGCCAGGACTGCTTCTCTCTTCTCGTTACCCAGTAGGCACCTGTGGCGAAGCAGCGTCGCCCGCGCGTCACACAACCACAAACCAGTTTATAGGGCGGGTCACATTCACACAAAGGAGAAAGGACATAGAACACAGAGAGAGAAAGAAACATCCATGCCCTGAGCGGGATTCGAACCTGCAATCAGGCACGCTAACCACTCGGCCACCTGATCGGCAAATTATAAAATGTATTTTAAAGGAAAAGTTTATTGAATCATGTAATTTAGTTTTTGATTGGTATGCAGTGTATTTTTTAAAATAAAAACCTGGATTTCATTGTACAGAAAAAAGAAAACAAAACCACTGAAAATGAAATGATGCTTTATGATGTAAAACAAACGCATTTAAAAACTAATTACGATCACAATTCATCAATAACAGGGTTGCCACTCCACAGGGAGAACAAAGGAATACCTGGAAAATACAGAGAATATTAAAATTATCTAAAATAACAGAGAAGATGCAGTGAATTTAAATTTTTCTTTACAAACTGAGAAAATAAAAGAAATTCTGTTTCTTATTTTCGTCTTTTAAAACACGGTAACCTCTCAATACATAATCTATGGGATATTTAAGGATGATATTCCAACCAAAGTAAACTATTTCGTTTACTATAGCATTATTTAAGTATGTTCAGCTATTCCTTTTTTCCCCTTAAATTTTTCCAGCAATTATAATTATTGCATAGCTAGCAAAATGCAGCTCATACAAGAGCACAGTGGTCGTGTTTTTCCTCTTAATGTCTTGTATGTACAGGAAATTATTTTTCCAGATTTGAGCGGCAACCTTGAATAATAGAAAATCAATATTATGTATAAAATACTGATCTGATCCAGTAATCTTCAATGGCTGTGGAAAGAAACTGGAAATTGAGTAAACATTTCCAAAATAGAATACCAGCGTTGAAAAATAAACCCCTACCCATTGGACTTTTTTGGGGGTGTTCTAATTATTGAGATTTTTAAAAATTCTTTGGTTCTTTTCATCATATTTTTAAAATTCTTTATAGTCTTGGAGTAAAATTTTGCTGTATTACTACATATCCTTAATTTTATTTAATTTATCTGTATTTAAAATGAAAATAATAATTTGAAGCAGCATGAAACAAGACTTACAGGTCTGAGAAGATGTATATTTTTATAAACAATTTTCCCATTTCATTGAATTGCGATTCTAAAAACGTTATGTATTGTATCCTATTAAAACAAGAATTTTTTTAACAATTCTTAAAATAAAATTTTCATTACAATTTGGATCTTGTAATATATAAACAATTATTATCTGTTATAACAATTGTGTTGTGAATTAGTATCTCAAATTTTTGGGAAAATACTTCTGTACATTATTCGTGATTTCTAATTAAATATGTTTTTAAGAGAGTTGATTGAAACTTTTAAAGAACAGCAGAATATGGTATTAATTTAAATATAAGCATTTCAATGTGTGGATATTGTATTTTATTTGATTATCAACTTAATATTTAGTAGAGCTAATTAGTTAATAATTAAATGCAATTTTGTAAAAGCCTGCTTGAGTTTTTTTAATGGCTTTCTCAGGCGAGATTTTTCAAAAACTCCACCTGATTTTTTCAGGTTGGGTAAAATCATAACAAACCTGCAGGCTGCTGAATTTTGCTCCTTCTTTCCCTCCCTCTGATTCTGCTATCCCTGCAGGTGACCACCCAGGTGGCACAAAATTCCATTCAGATTGGGCTTGATAATGTTGAGAAGGGTTAGAAAACATTAAAAGTTATCGACTTGAACGCAAGTATCTTATAGAATGTCATGGAAAATACTCATTGTGAAAGCCTAGATCTGCTCTGGGCTGTGGTGCCAAAAAGAAGAAATTGCACAAGTAAAATATCGCAAATAATTTCTTCTTCCTATCTTGTCTGCAACAGTTGCTCTGCTATTTATTTATTTATTTTGTTGCTAACTTAATGTAAATATTTGCTGGATATATTTATTTTAGAAGATGCATGTTTTTATAAAATTTTTTTACATTTCTTGAAAATTAGAATAGCTGTTAATTTTGTTTGGTCAAAACCATTGCTCATTAGGTTTAAGCTAGCAAGTGTTGTAAAATGCTATTTGCATTTTAAAAACAAGATAAAATTTTTTTCCAACAAAACTTTCATCGCTGATCTTCAGAAAAACTCATAATTATAAATTGAAACTTAAGTTTAAATTGATAACAGTATACTCAAATGAATTAAAATAACTAATAATAACTGTGTTCTTTTTTTTTTTTTTTTACAGCATCATAATAATATAATTAAAAATGGCTTCATGGTGTTGAAATCCGATAAAACTCGTATGCAGATGAAGTAAGCGAAGATAGCTCCTTCGAGATACTAAAATTTTATTCTACATATTTACATTTATATACAAGTTGGTTTGAATTACAAGAAACCTCATCACAGCAGGTGATGGGAGAAAATACTGACAGGCTGTCATGTGCGTGCTGGTATTTATACAATTCTAAGAATATGACGTCAGAACTCTTATTTCAGTTCACTTCAAAAATAAGTAAAAACACAATTGATTAAAGACAAACAGATAACAATATGAAATAAACTTGATTTTACGATGAGCGACGAACCCATCACCACACAGACTTTAAATTTAGCAGATTGTATGGATAAGTTAAGATGTTATATTATAGAAGCTGAAAAACCTCCTCCAGAAGTGTTACCGGAAACTTTAGCATTACAAAAGAAAAGGTAACTAAAGTTAAAGATATGAGTTAATTTTGTTTTTATTATTTGCTTCAATACATAGTGTTGTTGATGTGTAGTGTGTCTACCAGTAAAATTATTAAACTCAAATTCTTTTATATAAAAAAAATTACCTTGACCAACAATTCACTGTAGTAGCAGAGCCCTACACCAACTTTAATCATCCGTTAGTGTGACTTAAACATGTATATAATTTTGTAAATATTATTTACATACAATACCTGCCAACTCTTCCGGATTTTCCCGAAGATTTTATTTTCATATTTGAAGTGGTAGCAATACTCAGGTTATTCCAATTAACTTTTTGAATTATAATGATAATTATAAATGAGTTTGACCACCACCACATATAAATAATTACAATAAATATATGAAAGCGTAATAATCTTTGCGCAAGCGAATTTCAACGGGATCAAAATATAAATATATTATTGAGTCAGATTGTTTTTCGTTTATTGTTTTACAACCACTCTGAAAATCCATTCTCGGAAAGAATGAAAGTTGGCAGGTATGACATACATATCTTATTTTAATAATGCACCTTCAACTTATGTTATTATATCCATTTGATAATTCTTTTTTCCTTGTCCTATACTTGCTTCTTTATATGTATTTATCGATGGGGGAATTCCCCCTATCCCTTGTAATAATATAAGTTTTAATATTCCTTTTGACCTGAGAGCATATGGCAA